CACGTTTGGCATGTGAATGAGTTTGATCGACAAGCCGTGGAGAGGCGCAGCTATGGTCAGTTCCACCGTGGAGACTCCTACATCGTGAAATGGCAGTACCAGATAGCGCAAGTCAGTAAGTACAGTAGTGTCTTACTCTCGCTTTGCTCTCTCTCACTCACATTCTTAGATTTAGATAGGAATTTTCATGCAATTGGAAATGGGTACATACGAGCATGTTCGTAGGTGTGCATTCTTTGTCAGCTTCATCCCTGGTCGGATTTGAGGGGTGTTTGTTTCCCTGTTAGGAATCCTCGATGTGTAAGCTCAGATGGATTGTCCGTCTGATTTATTATTCATCTGTCTCTCTCGCTTTCCCACAGGTCGTGACATCCGCGGCGGTGGCACATCCAAACATTCCACGGTTGGCAGGAAGCGCTGTGCCTTCTTCTTCTGGCAGGGTGTGAACTCGGCGGTGACAGAGAAGGGCGTGTCTGCACTCATGACCATAGAGCTGGACGAGGAGATGGAAGCTCAGGTAGGTGCTGCCATCTATCGACGCATTAAGCACGCGTAGCACACGCAGGGCACCAATCTTTGTATAAACAACTAGTACAATATAGAAATGATGTAATACAACAAATAATTAAAACAAGCATCTATAGTGTGACAACTGGATAGTGCGTTGTCTCATTGATAGCTAGCAACTGATGTCATTTAGTCATGATATCGGTTGACCAAGAATTGATCTAACACATGTTCTGCACATCTCTTGTTCTTGGCCACGTGCACTGGAGAAACATCCAAACTTCTCATTCTTAAAACCCTTGCTTATAATTCAGTGTAATCAATATGGCAGACAAGTGACATCAAATTATTCCCACAATGGGCCGTCCGGTTGTTGTATGTAGGTCTAGACACACGGCGCCCCTATATAACATGTAGGCATGTGAGAGTTCCGCGGATCCGCGGATTTCCACTTTTTACTCTTTTTTTACTCGGTTACCGCGTTTTAGAAAAATTTGGGTCTGTAACATTCGATTTCTGTGTGTTCCGCTTTTTAGATTCACCGAAATTCAATCCGCAGATCTGCCATTTCGGGTATTCGGGGATTCCCGCGTTGCTAGGACGTTTCTGATTGGCCCACGCATGCTGGTGTTGCGCTATTGACCAATAGTTGTATTTCTTATATTATGTGACGCTCGTTTTCACGGTCTATTTGGTCTTTTGAAATCGAACAATACAAAAGCGATTCAATAAAGAGATTAATAATAACAATTATCATGTGTGCCCTGCGGCGAGATATAATGGAAAGACGTAGCGATGTCAACATCGAGGATATTTATTTAAGATACATCATGGAAATTGAAAAATACATAGCAGCAACAAATAACAAACTCGACAGATTTTATGGAAAATGGGCATCAGTAATGCACAAACTTTAAATAGCTTAATTATATTTGTAACAGTTTGTAGGTATTTAACATATACAAAAAGGTCATGTTGCTTATTTCTGTTGTTGCATGTTGCAGTAGATATCCCCTGCCAAAAAATTATGGCAAAAATTTACTCTGTATAGCTCTCGTCAAATACTAATCATTGTTCATATGTACCAATGTATGCCTATTGTTTGATAGTATTGCTTTGGTAGATCTAGAAATAAAAAACATTATAAAAAAAAACATGGAGGACATTGTTACATGCTTCAGGTTCGCGTCGACGAGGGTAAGGAGCAAGCTTGCTTCCTCAACCTCTTCCGCGGGGCGATGATCATCCACGCGGGTAAACGCGAGGACGAGCTCGCCTGCACACAGGGGGCGCTGCTGCTCTACATTGTGCGCGGCGAGAAAGAGAGCGAGGCGTACCTGACAGAGGTCGTGACCTCGGTCGCCAGCCTGCGCAGCCGCGGTTCATTCATACTCGTACATCGCCAGCGTGGCGCGGTGTGGATCTGGCACGGTGCCAAGGCAAAGCCGTACACAAGGAAGGCAGCGACGGTGGCAGTGAAGCAACTGACGACGACGTAAGCACGGTCGCTCTTAATCACTCCTTGAGTTAATTAAAGCAATTAGGTGTTCGTAATTGTTAGTCCACGAGCTAAATGTGACTAAAAAATGATTTTTGCCCCCGATGGGACATTGCGGCTTTATCTGCCTTTGGTAGCGAAAAGGCCAGCGATCTGTGTTTTACGAATTGGCCTTTTTTTCGACACAAAACACGCTTGAGCATGAAAAGCAATTTGACGTATTTGAAAAACGTGCATGTGCGAGGTTTCTAATGTAATTCGTGAGTTACATGTGAATCTGTGGCCGAAATTTGCCACCAGCATAACTTCGACCAGCCAGCACGTACGCATTATATTTGCAAGTAATAATACAGCCGATTACGATAGTATAAAGAAGACTGACACCGTGGCTGTCTGTGCACTGTGTTAAATTGACTATGTCACGAATTTTCTATGGTGTATATTTGTAAATTTTTTGCCATTTTTCTTACATTAAAAACTGGATCCTTTACGAAAGAGTCGTACAGAATATGGAACCGGTCCTATTTCGCGAAAAATTCCGTGATTGGCCAGACCAGTCCAAGCTCATCAAGGCTAAAATCACCGACCTGTCTGCCAAAGAGGTAACCACTAGACTGTCGTTGACCTAACATTAAATCACGAATGAATAATTATAGCTATATATCAGTATATAGTAATATTATATACCACATAATATATAGTAATAATAATAATATTAATATTTATAATAACTATATATTATTTTTATTTTTTGTATTTAATATAATAGATATTATAATAATAATATAATAATTATAGCTCTTGATTAAATACATACTTTAACAGGATGTATTTGTGTGCATGCATGTGCGTGTGTGTGTATGTATAAGTGCACATAACAAGGTTTTTTTGAAAGTTGGAATGTTGTTTTCTTGGGTCATTAGTTTGAAGACCTGAAGCCATACGACGCAACGTTAATGGTGGTGCCTGACACATCTGAACCAGACTTGCTGCTAGGAGGCGCTCACCTGGGGCGTGGCGACAAATGGCGGGACTCTGTTGAGATGCGAAACTCGGAGATCTTGACTAATGTAGGTGCCTACACTCACAATGTATGGCCCCAACTCAAACTGCGAGTATAAAATTACCAGAAGGGTTATACCATATTGACAATGTCAATCCCACTGTCGCATTGGACTATCCTGATTGAAACTTCATGCGGTTGCACAAGCCAAGTGTAGATTCCCAGTTTTGTAGTACATTTGCATAACAATGTAATGAAACTGTAACACAAGCTATTTAAATTTTTGTTCATTTTCTAATGTTGAGGAATATTTTTTTTTGAATTTAAACTATTAAGATTATTGACTTGTATCGGAAGAAAAAATCAGCACGAAATATATTGAAATATGCAGGACTAAATAGCATAAGTATAGCATATAAAAGAACAAGATAATAGTAATAATAATAATAATAATAATAATAATAATAATAATAATAATTACTATATATATATACATATATATACTATATTATATTATAATAACAATTGCTTTTCCGTTACACTGACCTTACTAATGGTTGACCTTGGTTCCATCTACAGGATGTGCATGTTTGGCATGTGAATGAGTTTGATCGACAAGCCGTGGAGAGGCGCAGCTATGGTCAGTTCCACCGTGGAGACTCCTACATCGTGAAATGGCA